TCGCTATACCTTTTTACACGCATATTAGCGTATTGTACCAAGCTTTTAGCGTGGTTCATTTTCGTAATAGCGTGCGGTACTTTCAAGTTAGCGAGGCGGAGAACGCTGATTTGGCGTCCTTGACACTCGCATTGGTTATGGGACGTAGACCAATGGGACTTCGGTTAGAAGCTGCCAGCATACGCGACAGACAGTCCAATGAAAGTGGTCGAGCACCACCTTCCGTTCTGCCCTGATGCCCCTCTGCAGTAAACGTCGATGATTGGCCTCCAACCTGAAATCGACCAATAGGTAAATTGTGATGCTTGTCAAAGGAGGAGATGCTAGCTACCACACTATCCAAAGCTTAAGACTTAACCAGTGTGGATAGACATACTAACCAGCACACGTAGCGGTCTATGGCGATCACTGGCGGCTACCTAATGGTGGCTTATTCAGCGGCCTAGCAATGGTGGCGTAGACAGGCAACCATCTAACTCGTATTCCACAGTACAGCAATGGCTGGTAGGCGGTTAGACAATTGTGTGCGAATGTCATTGCAACGATCATGGGGGACACAGTTCCCACAGAAGTTAGTAGACCAACCTGAAGCTGAACAACGACAATTCTAAGGTTGCTTAATTCGATCACAGTTGACGACTCAACAAAAAATAAGAGGATTCCAAGTGTGGCGCTGACACGACGTCAGTGAGTGTTCGTTTGCATCCATACCCATGGGCGAAATGTTACTCAGTTGTCGCTTCAGTGTCTCTATGTATGGCGTTACCTAAAGGTCATAGGAAGCTACGAATTCATAGAATAATTAGGTTTCACTTCCATATGGTCGCCCATGGTGTCGTAGAGAGGCAATCATCTAACTCGTACTCCACAGTACAGCAATAGCTGCTAGGAGGTTAGACAATTGTGTGCGAATGTCATTGCAAAGATCATGGGGGACATAGTTCCCACAGAAGTTGTTAAACCAACCTGAAGCTGAACAACGACAATCCTAAGGTTGCTTAATTCGATCACAGTTGATGACTCAACAAAAAATGATAGGATTGCAATTGTGGCGTTGACACGACGTCAGTGAGTGTTCGTTTGTCTCCATACCCATGGGCGAAATGTTAATCAGTTGTCGCTTCAGTGTCTCTATATTTGGCGTTACGTAAAGGTCATAGGAAGCTATGAATTTATAGGATCATTAGGTTTTACTTCCATATGGTCGCCCATGGTGACGTAGACAGAGAATAATCTCACTGGTATTCCGCACGTCAGCAATGGCTGCTAGGTAGTTATATAATTTCGCGCGATGGTTATTGCGACGATCATGGGGACATTGTTCCCATTGAAGTTAATAGACCAACTTGAAGCTGAACAACGAAAATTCTATGTTCGCTTACTTCTATCTCAGTTGATGGCTCAACAAAATGTGAGAGGATTCCAAGTGTGGCGTTGACACGACGTTAATGAGTGTTCGTTTGTCTCCCAACCCATGGGGGCATTTGTTAGTCAGTTACCACTTCAGGGCCTACATGTATCGCGTTATGTAAAGGTCATAGGAACCTATGTATTCTTAGGATAATTACACTTCACTTCCATATGATCGCCCATACGTATTGAGACGCTTTAACAAGTGGCTCTCCAAATGGAACCATTATAAGCACAGTCAATGCAGACGGAACCTCCCTATTACGTCAATGGACTGGCATGCTCTCCTCAAAGAATCGGCATTACTCAACAAAGTAACACTTAAAGGGGCCACAATAACTACGGTGTTTATACATGCCACATCGTCCTGCTAGAAAGAACGCAAGACTTATGATTAGTGGCGACGCAGGCATGTTACTCTGGTACTTCAGGGGAGTACTTGGAACAGATAAACACTGTTGTCTCACCCACGGGCGTTCCTACAATGTGTTTGCAATCATTTACAAAGGCAACCGCGCCCACTAAGCCTGCTATGGATCACTGTTTCAGCTAGTCTTAGAAGCATTCATGTATGCACGCCGTGACACAGGTTGTTAGCGACTTAGCAACTACTGGGAAACATTTTGTCATTGGGAAGTAGGTAATTCCGGAGACGTTGTTGAAGGAGGAAAATTTCTGCAATCTCTATGCTTACTATGCGTATTCAATGCTCGTAGGCACCTCATATCAGGGCCGTAGGGTCACTTGAGATTTAAAGCATATCAATCACTTGGAAGTGAAGGGTAAATATCATGTTGAAACGCAGGATTGACATGCATCTTACGACCTTAACATAACGGCAGGACCATGGGTCTTGTAGCGGTAACTGATTACCGAAGTGGCGCACAGGTGGGGCGATGAACGAACACTCACTAATGTCGTGTCACCGCCACACTAGGAACCCTCCTCTCTGGAACAATGGCTACAGATCCAATGATGATCTTACCTACACAGCGAACTTGATCTTAGTATACAATGCGCCGACTACATAAGCAATACCTATCTACGCTATTCACAGGAGTGTACGGCCAACTGAAAAAACACAGCACGAGAAATTTGTAGCTGTAAAGCTTTGTAAAAATTCTGTTTGCCAAGTTCTAGCTTTACCTCCTTCATACGAATTATTGCATTGTTTCCGATTACCTCACACTGCGTTAACAATCACACGCACATCCTAAGGTAAGTCGCACACCTATCGATTCTCCAGATTGCTCGCAGTGGCACGATTACACTATGCATCACGTGTGGCCAGATAGGCTAGCGAGAAAGATAGCCAACTTGCATTCAACCCGTAAGCCTACAAAGGTTCCCTTCCAACAGGGTTGCAGCCAATCCGCTTCCTATCACTACTCAATTAGTTGTCATCCCGTTCGTGTAAGCCTTCAAAGCCCCTCTTACAACAGGCTGCAAATGTTCCAACCTCAAAACGCCACCAATCCGCTTCTTATTACCGCTCACAGATTTCCTCTCGCCCCCGTGCTAATGATAGCTCCTTACGACAATCGCGTATGTCTTCGGCTGAGGAACACTGGCCCGTCCTTCAGTCTTTGGTACTGTCGTAGGAGTATCGGAAATGTGTCTACTCCGCCGTTGCTAGGTGTCCGCATCTGAGAGTTGGATAGGAAGGCGTAAGCTCTCCATCTGTGGAGACACTAGCCTCACCTGAGCAGGAACGCAGAGGGAGAGCCGGGCGATCACGGGATGGGTGGTTATTGTTCCCTGCAGTTCGGCACGCGTCACACTGAAAACCGTTAACCGGAGTGGTGCACAGCTGAAGCTCATGGTACAGTCCCGCGCTGATGCCACAACAAACAATATGCAGCCAAACGTTACAAAAAGAGCATTGGACAGCTTTGAAACGAGATGTGACGCCCTTGCTGCAGGCCACACATTTGGGAGACATTATTCACGTTTTTCAATCAAATTCGGTTGCAAGCAGGAGACAGCACCGGAACGTTCCAGGAAACATCTTGCCTAAGCAAAAGGGATAGTTTTACTGACCGGCAAGGTTACATTTGTTATGGCCAAACGGCTTGCGTTGTCCTTGAAACATGCATGCACGGAAGGTAGGGGAAGCCATTAGCTGTTCAGTCCCAGGAAAAATGCTCGCGCACTTGTGAGTGAGGTCATGCATACTCATGCCCACGCGGCGGATCACTACGCAGCTGGGATGTATGGGGAAATCACAAATACAGTGCGAGCGCATCGAAAACATGTAGCAAGGATAGAACTTCGAGCGTACTTTTTACTTTTTCAATACATGTGATGCTGTTGCTTGGCGAACCACCACGGTTCTTCAGGTTGGTTAGCAGATGAAGTTGTAATAAAAGGACCCGGGAGAGACTGTGTATCATCAAAAAGCGGCATAATTGCGGGTACTTTTGATGTCCGTAGATATACCTGACCACTCCCGTCATGTGTGATCCCGATGGTGTGATATTCAGACGTGCCGTAACCGTCACGTAGGGGAGGCAATTTAATCGGTCAGAATTGTTAGATTTCTCGCCGACCACTGATCGTCCCGTTCCGTGGGCCCTCCCTTGGGATCCACCCTCTTGCTCAGAAGTCGAATGTGAGATCGCACTGTTGCAGCTAAATAAAGCCGCGGAATCAGATGATCTACCTCCAGCTTTCTTCAAATTTGGGCGACCTGCTTTTGTGGATGATCTATACGTGTTACTGGTGAAACTGTGGGAGCAGGAAACTGTCCCAACCGACTGGAGCCGCTCCGCCATATTCCCAATGTTTAAGGGAGGCTCACGATCGGAATGCGGCAACCATAGAGGAATCACTCTGATCTCTATTGCCTCCAAACTGCTTGCCTCTGTCATCCTTCACAGACTGACTGCCACTTGTGAAAGCCATATTCGTGAAGAGCAAGCCTATTCCGGCTGGAAACGAATACAATGAGACTCGCAAAAATCTCAGGGCAAAACTACGTGCTAGCCTGAAGGAGGATCGCGAAACCTGGTGGTCTCATCGTGCATCGGAAATGGAAACAGCCGCTGCCGTTGGTAATCATCGTAAGTTATTCCGTCTGATACGGGAAACAGGCAGCAGGAGACCTGGTGTTAGCGAGACCATACGCGACGAGAGTGGGCAGCCGATCCACAGCCTGTCAAAACGCTTGGAGCGTTGAGCTGAACACTTTGCAAGGCAATTTAATCAACCTGAGTTATCGCTTTCTTCTTCGGGCATTGAGCGCCCTTCTCCCTGGGCCGTCTCCTTGGATCCGCCATCACGTACAGAAGTCGAACGTGAGATCAGGCTGTTGAAATTGCATAAGGCCGCAGGGGCAGATAGAATTCCCCCAGCCCTCTTCAAATTCGGGAGACCTGCTCTAATAGATGATATACACGAGTTGCTAGTAAAACTTTGGGAGCAGGAGACAGTCCCGGCAGACTGGAATTGCTCCGTCATTGTCCCAATTTTCAAGGGAGGCTCTCGTTTGGAATGCGGCAATCATAGAGGGATCAGTCTGATTTCGATTGCCTCTAAATTGCTTGCCTCTATCATTCTCCACAGACTGACTGGCACTCGTGAAAGCCAGATTCGTGAAGAGCAAGCCGGATTTCGTCAAGGTCGCGGCTGCATCGACCACATCTTCACCTTGCGTCAAGTGTTGGAGCACCGCCATGTTTATTGGCGACCCACCGTTGTCGTGTTTCTTGACATAAAAGGTGCCTTCGACTCAGTCGATCGATGTGCCCTTTGGGACTGTCTGTTGAGGAAAGGTGTGCCTGCTAAATATGTAAATATTATCAAAGCGCTGTACGCGCATAGTTCGGGCAGGGTGAGGGTTTATGGTAAACTGTCGCCACCCTTCAGTATCACCAGCGGTGTGAGACAAGGATGCCCGCTGTCACCTTTCCTCTTCAACTTCGCTATTGATGAAGCCATGGAAACAGCGTTCGCTGGACACGACCTAGAAGGTGTGGAGCTACTTCCTGGTGAGCGACTTCTTGACTTGGATTATGCAGACGATATTGCCCTAATCTGTGACAGCTCCCAAACATGCCAAATAGCACTGGATCGATTAGCACTGGCTGTCAATCATTTTGGGCTATGCTTTGCCCCATCGAAATGCAAAGTACTTCTCCAAGATTGGCAGGGACCCAACCCTGTGCTAACGCTTGGTGGTGATCTGCTAGAAGTCGTTCAGGAATTCAAGTACCTGGGCAGCTATATTAGCACCCGTGGGATTGAAGATGAGGTTACGAACCGTATAGCAAAAGCTCGAGGTGCTTTTGCCAATCTCCGCCACCTGTGGCGCAGGTGCGACATTACTCTCGCCCTGAAGGGCAGAGTTTACAACGCAGCCGTCCGTTCAACTCTCTTATATGGCTGTGAAACCTGGCCCATCAGGTCGACAGACATAAAGAGGCTCGTCATATTCGATCATCGCTGCCTTCGCAGCTTAGCTCATGTCTGGTGGGAGCACCGCGTGAGCAATGAGCGTGTTCGACGTCGCGTATTTGGTGCAAGAAGAGCGAGTGAACCGCTCAGCACCATTATATCACGCACCAGGCTCCGATGGCTGGGCCACGTGTTGCGCATGCCAGCACACCGGCTCCCGCGACGTGCATTGTTTGCGCGTTGTGGGTGCGGTTGGAAGAGGAGGTGGGGAGGCCAAGTGATGACTTGGTCGAGAGGAATGAAAACCCTCACTTCGAAGTTGGCGTCGGTTGGTGCATCCCGATTGCCTGGCTGGGGTCCTATGGATGGGGAACACGTTTGGTTGGACACACTCGCTGATATAGCTTGGAGCCGGCCCCAGTGGCGTTTGTGTTGTGAGTTCCTTTGTCCATCCCCCTCCTACTTAGCATCCCCCTCCAATCATGATCTCACCTGATAGGTATAATATGACTCTTTTACGGCAGCCAGCTGTTAGCTCTCCGGAATGATGTCCATCCGTTACTGGGGACTCAGCGGGCGTGCCACCGTTTGTTTTCCTTTTCTTATCCTTTGTATTGCGGCACAATGGCTTAGGTGTTTTCCACCTCCAGCTAACGTGTAATGATGATGATGATAATGATGTGTAGTTCATAAGAAAGAGATCGTACAATGGTCCCTTTTACCAGTGGGCTATGGAAGGGTCAATTCTGAGTCGGAGTGAGCACACGATCAAGAGTGTGCTGAGTCTGGCCCTGAATAAGCCTAGTGGGTGGTTATATGCTGGAAGAGATTCGTTTTGAGGACCGTTTCAAGGAGACTAGCGTCAAAGGATTCGGGTGGAAGGCGGCAATGTAGTAGGTCCCAATTGACATCCCAATTGACACCCACAATAAGCCAATCTCTGCGGTTTTCATGCGATTTGATGAAGTCTAGCACAGAGGCACCATCTCCCCACGCGGCTTTGTAGACAACACCAACTATAAGAGATTTAAAGCCACCATTGATCCTGCAACAGCGCAGCTCTGCGTCACCATCAGCGTCGTTGACAGGTTCCACGAGATGAACTTTAAGATCCTCTCTCAAGTGGAGAACTACGCCGCCACCAGCTTTTGTTCCAGATCAGCCAGCACGGAAAAGTTGGTATCCTGAAATGTAGGTCTCAGGGTTGGAGATATCTGATGATTCAGGACTCAGTGAAGGCCAACAGGTCAGGAAGCAACTTTGAGGTAAGAGCGTGTACCTCGTCCAATTTGTTCCGGAGGCTGCGAACGTTTGCAATCATCACCTCCAGCTAACGTGTATGATGACGATGATGATGATGATCACCTGTAGTCCATCCTTCGTCCTTGTTTTTAAGTCCCGGGGAGGATAAACTGGCTTCCGGCGGGACCTCTGTACTTTCTGCACTACCTGAAAATCCACTATGTGCAAGTTGGTCTCGCCATTTGTTCTACTCTTTCGTAGTTCGTTAACTGTGTTCCTCATTTTGGTTCGATCTTCTGAGGAGAGCTCTTTAAGAACAGAATTTTTCTCCCTTGAGACGGGAGGTCCGTCCGAGGATACGGCGGTGCCCTTCTTCATTCTGACAGACAACTTTGAGTGGACGGAAGTTGGTGGGGTCTTGTCGCTTTCTCCCAAGGCGAAATGCAGAGACAAAGTTCATCCCTTTTCCCCACTATGGAATAGAAGGGAGACCATGTGCTTTAATAATGTTTGTTCGTCCTATATTCTTTCTGCTGGTGTCTCCCTATTAGATTCGTGAGCATTTACGATGATCGGACACCGCTCACGTGAAGGACACTTGTTTCCATCAGGTACAGGTGGTTTCGGTGTGCTGGGGTTAGCCTTGATCAGATGTTCCAGCTGCGTCATTCTGTCCAAAACCAAAGGTAGCTGAGATAAAGTAGGCTTCGGTGCTGTTTTAGACTTTGCATCTTTTTAGTGATTGTTTTGCGCACTGCTGTGTTTGGGACGACCAAAATTGTTGGTACGTCATTTCTCGCCACAATCGCGTATGTCTTCGGCTGAGGAACACAGACCCGTCCTTCAGTCTTTGGTACTGTCGTAGGAGTATCGGAAATGTGTCTACTCCGCCGTTGCTAGGTGTCCGCATCTGAGAGTTGGATAGGAAGGCGTAAGCTCTCCATCTGTGGAGACACCAGCCTCACCTGAGCAGGAACGCAGAGGGAGAGCCGGGCGATCACGGGATGGGTGGTTATTGTTCCCTGCAGTTCGGCACGCGTCACACTGAAAACCGTTAACCGGAGTGGTGCACAGCTGAAGCTCATGGTACAGTCCCGCGCTGATGCCACAACAAACAATATGCAGCCAAACGTTACAAAAAGAGCATTGGACAGCTTTGAAACGAGATGTGACGCCCTTGCTGCAGGCCACACATTTGGGAGACATTATTCACGTTTTTCAATCAAATTCGGTTGCAAGCAGGAGACAGCACCGGAACGTTCCAGGAAACATCTTGCCTAAGCAAAAGGGATAGTTTTACTGACCGGCAAGGTTACATTTGTTATGGCCAAACGGCTTGCGTTGTCCTTGAAACATGCATGCACGGAAGGTAGGGGAAGCCATTAGCTGTTCAGTCCCAGGAAAAATGCTCGCGCACTTGTGAGTGAGGTCATGCATACTCATGCCCACGCGGCGGATCACTACGCAGCTGGGATGTATGGGGAAATCACAAATACAGTGCGAGCGCATCGAAAACATGTAGCAAGGATAGAACTTCGAGCGTACTTTTTACTTTTTCAATACATGTGATGCTGTTGCTTGGCGAACCACCACGGTTCTTCAGGTTGGTTAGCAGATGAAGTTGTAATAAAAGGACCCCGGAGAGACTGTGTATCATCAAAAAGCGGCATAATTGCGGGTACTTTTGATGTCCGTAGATATACCTGACCACTCCCGTCATGTGTGATCCCGATGGTGTGATATTCAGACGTGCCGTAACCGTCACATAGGGGAGGCAATTTAATCGGTCAGAATTGTTAGATTTCTCGCCGACCACTGATCGTCCCGTTCCGTGGGCCCTCCCTTGGGATCCACCCTCTTGCTCAGAAGTCGAATGTGAGATCGCACTGTTGCAGCTAAATAAAGCCGCGTAATCAGATGATCTACCTCCAGCTTTCTTCAAATTTGGGCGACCTGCTTTTGTGGATGATCTATACGTGTTACTGGTGAAACTGTGGGAGCAGGAAACTGTCCCAACCGACTGGAGCCGCTCCGCCATAGTCCCAATGTTTAAGGGAGGCTCACGATCGGAATGCGGCAACCATAGAGGAATCACTCTGATCTCTATTGCCTCCAAACTGCTTGCCTCTGTCATCCTTCACAGACTGACTGCCACTTGTGAAAGCCATATTCGTGAAGAGCAAGCCTATTCCGGCTGGAAACGAATACAATGAGACTCGCAAAAATCTCAGGGCAAAACTACGTGCTAGCCTGAAGGAGGATCGCGAAACCTGGTGGTCTCATCGTGCATCGGAAATGGAAACAGCCGCTGCCGTTGGTAATCATCGTAAGTTATTCCGTCTGATACGGGAAACAGGCAGCAGGAGACCTGGTGTTAGCGAGACCATACGCGACGAGAGTGGGCAGCCGATCCACAGCCTGTCAAAACGCTTGGAGCGTTGAGCTGAACACTTTGCAAGGCAATTTAATCAACCTGAGTTATCGCTTTCTTTTTCGGGCATTGAGCGCCCTTCTCCCTGGGCCGTCTCCTTGGATCCGCCATCACGCACAGAAGTCGAACGTGAGATCAGGCTGTTGAAATTGCATAAGGCCGCAGGGGCAGATAGAATTCCCCCAGCCCTCTTCAAATTCGGGAGACCTGCTCTAATAGATGATATACACGAGTTGCTAGTAAAACTTTGGGAGCAGGAGACAGTCCCGGCAGACTGGAATTGCTCCGTCATTGTCCCAATTTTCAAGGGAGGCTCTCGTTTGGAATGCGGCAATCATAGAGGGATCAGTCTGATTTCGATTGCCTCTAAATTGCTTGCCTCTATCATTCTCCACAGACTGACTGGCACTCGTGAAAGCCAGATTCGTGAAGAGCAAGCCGGATTTCGTCAAGGTCGCGGCTGCATCGACCACATCTTCACCTTGCGTCAAGTGTTGGAGCACCGCCATGTTTATTGGCGACCCACCGTTGTCGTGTTTCTTGACATAAAAGGTGCCTTCGACTCAGTCGATCGATGTGCCCTTTGGGACTGTCTGTTGAGGAAAGGTGTGCCTGCTAAATATGTAAATATTATCAAAGCGCTGTACGCGCATAGTTCGGGCAGGGTGAGGGTTTATGGTAAACTGTCGCCACCCTTCAGTATCACCAGCGGTGTGAGACAAGGATGCCCGCTGTCACCTTTCCTCTTCAACTTCGCTATTGATGAAGCCATGGAAACAGCGTTCGCTGGACACGACCTAGAAGGTGTGGAGCTACTTCCTGGTGAGCGACTTCTTGACTTGGATTATGCAGACGATATTGCCCTAATCTGTGACAGCTCCCAAACATGCCAAATAGCACTGGATCGATTAGCACTGGCTGTCAATCATTTTAGGCTATGCTTTGCCCCATCGAAATGCAAAGTACTTCTCCAAGATTGGCAGGGACCCAACCCTGTGCTAACGCTTGGTGGTGATCTGCTAGAAGTCGTTCAGGAATTCAAGTACCTGGGCAGCTATATTAGCACCCGTGGGATTGAAGATGAGGTTACGAACCGTATAGCAAAAGCTCGAGGTGCTTTTGCCAATCTCCGCCACCTGTGGCGCAGGTGCGACATTACTCTCGCCCTGAAGGGCAGAGTTTACAACGCAGCCGTCCGTTCAACTCTCTTATATGGCTGTGAAACCTGGCCCATCAGGTCGACAGACATAAAGAGGCTCGTCATATTCGATCATCGCTGCCTTCGCAGCTTAGCTCATGTCTGGTGGGAGCACCGCGTGAGCAATGAGCGTGTTCGACGTCGCGTATTTGGTGCAAGAAGAGCGAGTGAACCGCTCAGCACCATTATATCACGCACCAGGCTCCGATGGCTGGGCCACGTGTTGCGCATGCCAGCACACCGACTCCCGCGACGTGCATTGTTTGCGCGTTGTGGGTGCGGTTGGAAGAGGAGGTGGGGAGGCCAAGTGATGACTTGGTCGAGAGGAATGAAAACCCTCACTTCGAAGTTGGCGTCGGTTGGTGCATCCCGATTGCCTGGCTGGGGTCCTATGGATGGGGAACACGTTTGGTTGGACACACTCGCTGATATGGCTTGGAGCCGGCCCCAATGGCGTTTGTGTTGTGAGTTCCTTTGTCCATCCCCCTCCTACTTAGCATCCCCCTCCAATCATGATCTCACCTGATAGGTATAATATGACTCTTTTACGGCAGCCAGCTGTTAGCTCTCCGGAATGATGTCCATCCGTTACTGGGGACTCAGCGGGCGTGCCACCGTTTGTTTTCCTTTTCTTATCCTTTGTATTGCGGCACAATGGCTTAGGTGTTTTCCACCTCCAGCTAACGTGTAATGATGATGATGATGATGATGATAAAGAGCCATCCAGATTTCGTCGAAGTCGTGGCCGAATTGACCACATCTTTACTTTGCCTCAGTTTTTGGAGCACCGTCACACATATTGGCAGCCCACCGTGGTCGTGTTCCTCGATATCAAAGGTGCATTTGTTTCGTTGGATAGACGCGCACTTTGGGACTGTCTATTCAGGAGAGGTGTACCTGAGAAAAATATAAATATTATCCGATCATTATTCGCGCGTAGCTCATGTAGAGGGAGGGCTTCGGGCGTGCTGTTGTCGCCCTTTAGTATCTCCAGCGGTGTGAGACAAGGATGCCCTCTGTCACCTTTCCTCTTCAACTTCGCTATTGACGAAGTCGTGGAGATTGCATATACAGTCACGACTTAGGTGTATATCTGCTCCCAGGTGAACAACGTTTTCATTTGGAGTATGCTGCCCTAATTTGTGACAGCTCCCTGACGTGCCAAGCGGCACTGGACAGATTAGCACTGGCTGTCCGTCACTTCAGGCTTTGCTTCGCACCCTCGAAGTGCAAAGCGTTCCTCCAAGATTTGCCTGAACCGCCTCCTTCGCTGACCCTTGGTGAGGATCAGCTAGAAGGCGTTCAAAAATTTAACTACCTGGGAAATTGTATCAGCATTCGTGGGATTGAAAATGAGATCACGAACCGTATAGCAAAAGCTCGAGGCGCTTTTGCTAACCTTCGCCCGTTATGGTGCCGGCGCGACATCACTCTTGCCCTGAAGGGTAGAGTGTGCGATGCAGCGGTACATTCGACCGTACTGTACGGTGGCGAAACCTGGCCCCCTAAGATCGGCGGACATGAAGAGGTTTGTTTCGTTCGAGCACCGGTGCTTTCGCAATTTAGCTCACGTCTGGTGGGAACACCGCGTGAGCAACGAGCGTGTTCGACGCCTTGTTTACAGCACAGGCAAAGGAAATGAACCGCTCAGTACCGTTATTTCACGCACCAGGCTCCGATGGCTCGGCCACGTGTTACGCATGCCAGTCCACCGACTCCCGCGACGTGTGTTGTTTGCGCGCCGGGGGTGTGAATGGAAGAAGAGGAGAGGTGACCAAGGGATGACTTTGTCGAGAGTAATGAAGGCCCTCACTTCTGAGCTGGCCTCAGTTGGAGTGTCTCGGCTCCCTGGTTG